AGACATGCGTATCCAACTGTGTTTTCAAGATCTCTGCTGGCTCTCCCAGGCACCTCACATTCAAGTCTTAATTCATACCCATCCACTCAGATCTAGTGTTCCTTCCCGAATTCCCTTTCCTTGATAAGGGAAGAGTCCACTCCTGCAGTTGCTCAGGTCTGTCTTCCTTGATTCTGCCCTCCTAGAAGGGGTGGCACCCCCCGGGGCTGGGGGGCCGCAGCAGGAGGTTGGGGGGCAGAGCTTCATCTGCCCTCCCCTTGGCTCACATGACGGCCTGAACCATCCCCCCGCCCCCCATCCCATCGGGGGAAAAGCTGTCTTCCGCTAAACCGTTCCCTGGTACCAAAACGGCTGGGGACCGCAGCTCCGCCCCACACCCGATCTTGTCAGCTCTGCTTCCAAATGTATTTAGAGTCCAACCAGGCCTTATCATCGGCGGCCTTCTGGGCTCCTGTAACAGCCTCTGACCCGCTTTCCGGGTCCACCTCTGCCTGGCCACCTACCCGGCCTCACCCGGCCCAGGCACTCTTCACGTAACAGCCAGCGGCACGCTATTAGCAGGTTAAGTCAAGCTGCACTACTCCTCTGCTCCAAACTCTCCAACGTAAGAGGCTTCTCAGAGGAAAAGCCAGGGCCCTCAGAAGGGCCTACAGGCTTCCTCGAAGACCCAGCTCCATCTCTGCCCAGGAAGATAAGGCCTGGGACTCCGACGGCAGGGCTGGCTGTGAAACACAGCAACCAGGAACAGCTCAGCTTTAAAGCCCACGGGCTTCTCGGGGGTCTGGCCTGTGGAGGGGGCACGGCATCACCGTGCGCGGGGCACACAGCACCCAGATGGGCCCCGCACGTGCCGAAGGCTGAGTAAGCACCCGCTGTCATCGGATGCTCTGTTACCCAGAATGAATTAAGTCCAGATGCTGGCAGGCAAAGGAGCAATGTACCTGGTCAAAATCCACCCTGACAGTAAACCGCCATGAACAGCCTTACGTGTTTTTTATACACATCTCTGTGGAGCATATAAATAGTACATATGCAAAATACTAAGATGTACTATGAACTTTTACCAGCAAGAAGAATGTCACTGGTGAACTTAGCTCAATGAGAGAATATGAGCAACTGCAACGAGACTCCACAGTACCAAAGACATAGATTCTCTACAAGGCTCTTTAAATAACCACAGGTCAAGTCAGGGACCTGCAGTAAGCAGCGTGCTGTTACTTTCAAAACTAAGTTATCCATGGCTGATTCATGTCAATGTATGACAAAAACCACTACAATACTGTAAAGTAATTAGCCTCCAACTAATAAAAATAAGTGGAAAAAAAATTAAAAATATATATTGAAAAAAAAAAAACTAAGTTAACTGAACTACCTTATAGTAAGTGATCGCTGCATTCTAACTTTTTTTCTTCCCCAAACAGGGCCCTTGTTGAGTTTCTGATATCCTAATCACTCTCCAAATGGGAGATGAAATACTAGCTTTGATTCAGTTTTAAGTAGCTCAATAAAAATGAAACAAATATAATTATTAAAGACAAAAGCAAAACGATATGGAAAGCTCTAACTCTGCAGAGAGAAAACAAAACGAAGTAAACTTGAGGATTCAAGAAACAATCGCTGGCGCAGTTCAACTTTCTATGTTCTGGAAAGGGGGAAAGGGGGTCCGCGTCCACTTAACCACAGCAGGCACGTGCCGTGTCCACCGGTGACAGAAACAAGCAGCTCAGGCTGACATCACGTGCGAGAAACGCCACTGGGGGACATCCAGTGGCCACCACTGAGTCACAGCACCATTCCTCTACGGCTCCGGGACCAGCTGCACTCGAAGCGAATGCAAAATGTTATAGAAAACAATGAGTACCGGAGAATTCCATGCTATCTGCATATGTGAATGAAGACTGTAGGAAAGGCAGTTTCAGCTTGAACCTGACAAACAGCCAAGTCCATCACAGAGCAGGGTCCCCTGGAGGAGTAAGCCAACGGCTCGCACATCTTCACAGTGCTGCCAAACTATAACCAGTGTACAAAGTTCTGATGTAACTGAACTTGCCTATGGTTCTGAACACTTCTCAGATGACTACAGAGGAGGCCTGCTGTGATGTGGTTTCACCTTGATGCCAGGGATGAAAGGGGGACAAGCATCACATCACAGGGACGCAAAGTACAGTCAGAGAAGGCCGCCGTTCTGCTTAAAGCACGACGCAGTCGAGAGTCTGAGGACGGTGGACGCTTTCATAGGAACAGCCAGCGCTGCAGCTGCAGTGGTCATGTGTGCACACAGGCAAGAAACAAGAACTCATTTCACATGCAACAGGTGACGTCACCGCTACCTATCTACCCCCCTAACAGGGTGAGAGCATCACCTGCGTCCCTGTCTCATCATTACGTCTCTAACACTGCAATCGATCAGACTGTGAACTTGTTAGTGGCTCTGGCTCTCATCGGTTCCCAGTGACCACAGGGCGCTGTGCTGAGAAGGGCGTGCAGCTGGTATTAGACCTGCACGGGAGCGAGCAAAGCACAGAACCGCAAACGTCACTGTCCTCGGTACTCGGGGGAGGAACAACACCCCCCCCACCCCGCATACAACATACACTGTGGCCGAAATAGAAGACATCTGTGTTGTAACTCCCCACGAACGGCCTTCTCGCTCTTTTCTTTTCAATGAAGCAGATTCTACAAAGAAAAACCAGGGGACTTGCAAACGGCCTACACCAAGCTCCTGGTGAATGCCTGGCACTTCCACTTCCTCAGCCAACTTTCATTTGATAAGATTAGGGGAAAAAAAATTCCTTGTTAGGAAGAAGCAATGCAACAGTTTTTAATAAAAGAAGGAAAGAAGACATATGTGCTTCACTGGTTTTGAAAACAAAAACCCCACCTTTGACAGCCAGGCTAAAGCAACAATTCCCTGCACTGTCCTCGCTGCCTGATCTCGACCTCTGGTGGGCACGCCCAGACCCCATGGGCTCCTCACTTCAGGAGGACAGAGTCCTATACTGCACATCAGCTGTCTCTACTCCCCCTCTGCCCACCGACCTCAGCTCCTCATCTTTCGCTCCACTTCGCCATGAGTTAAAGGCTAGAGTCATTTCTCAGCAACTTTGCTCCAAAGCAGAAATAAGATCCTTTCCCAGATTGAAACTCCCTGCTCAGATTTTCTTCCCAGCCATGACTCAGCAGTAGCGTCTTTGGATTTTGCCCAGAGAATTTACCTGAACTAACCTCTCACTTTTAAAAGCTATCTGCATTTTGAATTCCTTTGAAAGCTCTGAATTCCTTTCCCAATCTACTACCCCCTTCAGGGTCACACAGGAAACACTTTTTGGGTAACTGTCCAACCACCCCCTTTTCTCTGAGGACTGCCTATCACTCAGCCCCTGCTCCAGGCAACTCTGTCCCCTTGATGCAGATTATCAAACCAGAGGTGGACAACTGGCCCGAGTCCAGCCAATCAGATTCTCCCTCTAACTGAATGGGCTTGGGTACCAGACTCCAGGTAGAGAAGGAATGACCCAGAAACGGGGAGAGGAGCAGATCAGAAACTGCAGGTCATTAGACGCAGTAACTCTGGCTGTCAATCTTCTGGCTCCCAGCTCAGGCTGATGCATTTCCAGCACTGGGATTCAGGGAGAGACCCTTGTCTCCTTCACATATATTTCCACTTTGTCTTAAACAAGGTTAATTATGTTTCTACGCTCTGTAATGAAAAGGTTCCTAAGACAGCCACCAGAGCGATAATTTCCAAACTCCTACCCCACAGTCTATGAGGCCACAGCTTCAAGAAATCTGAAGTTAGCAATGTCGAAGGGGGAGAGGGAGAGGAAAGAGGAGGACAGGGCGAAAGCCGAACTCTTCACTCAGAGACTGGGGTTCACTCGGCTCAAGAGCCGGTCAGTACCTTCCACAGACAGGCACGCACTCTGCTGGGCACCAGGAGAAGCAGAGCAGGGGAATGGGGAACTCAAGCGTCCTGGCACAGCTGCGAAGGGAAGGCGGGAATGCACAGACAGGGCTCCCACGGGCCGCTCTTGGCAGGATAGCACACGGCTGGGGAGTGCAGAACGAGCGTGACAAGGCACGCATGGAAGGTGGCAGTCAGCCAGAATATGCGGGTTATCAAGCGTAGCAAAGCTGGCTGCCCCCGCTTCAGACCACTGGGTAATTTAGGGAGGAAGTTCCTGAAGGCCGGAAGCCTCTCTACAGAGACCCTGTAGGAATCTTCTCACTTTAACTCTGTATTATAAAGGCACCTAAAAGCATCTAGGTCAAACAGCATGGTAAAACAAAATAATTTTCTAAGTAGTTACAGAGATTACATCTTATAGTGAGTAATAAAGTAAGAATTTGTAGCACGAATTTAAACAGGTGATTATACTCGACAACTATTCTATTTCAGGTTGCTGAAGGACATGAGAAATATTTTACATGAAATGTTAAAAGAGCAATAACATCATCCTACGGTATTTTCTTTAAAAACAAACAAAAAGTTATGAATCAAGCAAATATAGTGATCTTAAATGTTAGAATCATCATCACACTTTTAGCAATATATCCAAAAGAAATAATAGAGATGTGGAAAAAGCACACATGAAAACATTCTAGATAGTGTAACAAAAAATAAAAAGCCATCTAAATACCCAATAACAAAGAGCATACCAGATGGCTATTGGAATATTACTGGATAATATAACTTAGCCACTAAAAGGTAATGTAATAACAAAATGAAGTATATGTTGAGTGGGGAAAGGATATAAAATGAAGTATTCTCTAATCACAACAGTACTTAAAAAAAAAAACACATTACAGAAAGCTCAATACATAGAGAAAAATGCTATAAAGGAAAACATGATAATGTTTACATAGCAGTGGTAAGATCATGAGTACTTTATTTTTCTAAGTTGTATTTTTTTTGGTCAAGATGTATTATTTATAAACTTTTAAGAAACAACCGCCCCCTTTTTCTTCCCCTAAGTATTAGAAACCAAATGTAAACTCACTTCATCAGAAGCAGATCGAAGACACTGGACAGCAGCCTGTTTTTTCATTTCTTCTACAGTTAGATCTGAGCCCTTTTTCTTACTCTTTCCCCATTTCTTATAAGCTCCTTTTTCCCAGCCCAGGAAGATGTCATTCTCCTGAAATAAAATTAAGACCAGTTTCAATGATCAACATAAAGTTTCAAACACTTATTATTTTCCACATACTTACACACACATTTCCCCTACAAATATCTTCATTCACAAGTTGGTACACATTAATAAATTATGAGGCCATAGAATGCTGTCAATCAGAACAATAATCAATAATCAATCAGATTATTCAGGATAACCCATCGTTTTAGTACCTATTACTGAGATTACTATTAGATTATTATTTAGGATTTATGATCTCAATAAATCTGACCCATTTATATTTGTAGTAAATGCTAAAAAACAACTCAGACATTCATATGCAAATTTCATTGTTATTTAAATTTCAGTATTAAAAACTATATACACAAATGTCCTCTTTTCTGTACTTCCCACCTGTCAATAGCAAGTGTTCACATTATTAGCTTTTTTTTTTTTTGGCCATGCCTCATGGCAAGGGGGATCTTCAAACCCATGAACCCCTTCAGTGGAAGGGCAAAGTCCTAACCCCTGGACAGCCAGGAAAGTCCCTTACTAACAGATTTTAACATTTAACAGTTGAATGGTTCATTCCTATATCTTGCAATCCAGAAAGCAACAGATATAAAATATTCTATGTTAGTATTCGTAGCTTATTTTTCCCTTGATTATATATGCCTGTTATAAAAACTAAGGAAAATTTGAAAAATAGGAAAAAAGCAAATCTTCCATGATCCTACCACCAGTGAAAATTAGAACAATTTTCACACACTTAAAGAGAAAAAACATGACTGAATTCACACTATCTGTGTAATTTTGCACTTAGACGGTAAACACTGCTGCTCCTGCTGCTACGTCGCTTCAGTTGTGTCCGACTCTGTGCGACCCCACAGACGCAGCCCACCAGGCTCCCCCGTCCTTGGGATTCTCCAGGCAAGAACACTGGAGTGGGCTGCCATTTCCTTCTCCAACGCATGAAAGTGAAAAGTGAAACTGAAGTCGCTCAGTCGTGTCCGACTCTTCGTGACCTCGTGGACTGCAGCCCACCAGGCTCCTCTGCCCATGGGGTTTTCCAGGCAAGAGGACTGGAGTGGGGTGCCATTGCCTTCTCCATTGTAAACATTACCTGCATGTTATTACAAATTCTTTGACTACATAATATTCCAGTGGGTTTACTTCACTTCCCTAAACTGGGACTTGAATATTTTTAATTGCTCTGCTACTTCACTTTGCCTTTCATTTGGTAAGTTACTATTAAAACCAATGGACATATGACAAGAGTTAGAAAAAAAGAGATTAGAAAGACTAAGGCAAATTAAGAAAACTACTCAGAAGAATATCTGGCCTACAGTAAGCCCTCAGGAAACGGATATGTATTAACAAATGAGCTGGAATAAAGAAGGAAAAGCACAATAATTAATTCAAAAAAACTTTAAGGATCAAATTCATATACCATCAACTGTCTATCTAGTCTTTACTTTGATCAAATACATAAAAATTACTTTTCTGCCACCAGGTAAAGAGTGGGAGGGCCCTTTTCTCCATACTCAACGCAATTAACATACTTTTTACATAATTTCTTGGGCATGTCTGAGGATCTCATGAACAAAAAACATTTACTGGCTGAGTGGTGTCAATTCCATTTGCCAAGGGAAAATGTGCCTGATGGCCAAGTAAGAACTCTCAGTCTGTTTTCGCTTATCTACCGTGTTTGGCTAAATGACATCTAAAACCTGACACTGACATTTCTTATCAGCGATATCTTCGGGAGATAGAGCTTGTCCTTTTCACAAGGATGGGAACGGAACCATGACAATGTAGAGCCAAAGCTTCTGAAGGCAGAGAATGGTTGTAGTCTGGCTCCGTTACTCACGGTGTAAACAGTAAAAGTAAAGGTAGAGACGTTCTGTGTCGTTACTCAGAAGACGGCTCCTTCCTTTCTGCCTCAGTTGCTGAGACTGGCTTTCCCTTTACTGAGCATTACGAACACGTTTCTCTACTGAAGCCATGTTTAAGCTCAGCAGGATTAACAACACATTTAAAGGTCCAAACAAAGTTTTCATAGACAGACAGAGGGACTTTCAAAGTTCACATGGACACACAGTCCTTCGGGAGGGCAGTGTGACCATACACATCCAATATCTTAAACATGTATATGTACTTCTGATCAATAACTCTACTCCTGGGAATTTAGCCTAAAAAAAAAAAAATCACCAAAACGTGCACAGATTTTGCTATAGTGATGTTCATCATATAGTTCTCAACAACAGCAAACATGGACAAACAACCTAAATGTCAAGAGAGGAGGACTTGGTGAGTAAGTTCTAAGTGACCAGGCAGTAAGATACAGCCATCAAGGAGATTACGAAGCACATCTATTGACGCGAGAAGCTATTACCAACATATACAAGAGCGGTAGTTCATACAACAGTATGATCTCATTTATGGTTCAACTACACACGCACACCTGTTAATGTGCATTCAAATGTCTGAGAAAAATGTACCAAGAGACCACCAAGGAGCCTGACTCTTGGTGAGTGGCAAGACGTGTCTACAATTTTTCTTGTAACTAGGTCAGACTCCTTGGAACGGTCAAAAGTTGTTTTTTGAGTTTTTTTTTTTCAAATGGAAAACTTGTAAGTCAAGAATAGAGAAATGAAAAGAGTTCCTATAGCTCTTCGCCTAGAACAAGTGTTTGGTACTTGCTTTGTCTGTCACATACCCCAGAATTTACTTTTTAAATATACAATTCAGGGGTTTTGGGTATAATTCACAGGGTAATGCAAAATCATCATTATTTTTAAAACATTTTTCATCACCCCAATTGGAAGCCCTGAGCCCACCAGCAGTCACGTCCCATTTCCTTTCTCCCCCAGCTCACAGGTAACTACTAACCTGTTGTCTATATGGACTTTGCTGTGCTGGGTATTTCGTATAAATGAAATTACACAATCCACTTCTTTTCCCGCCTGGTTCCTCTAGGTCAGTGTAACACTTGAAAGGCTCATGCACGTTGTGGCATATTATCAGTACTTCATTCTCTTTTATGACTAATGTTTCAGTGCATGGATGTACCATATTTTGTTTATCCATTCATCCACTGATGGACATCTGAATTCTTCTCACCTTTTGGCTACTGTGAATAATACAGCTATGAACATTCAAATACAAGTTTTTCTATGGACATATATTTCCAGTCTTGCTGGGGATATATCTAGGAGTGGAACTGCTGGGTCCCATGGTTAACTCTAGGGTTCAACCTTCTGAAGAGATGCCAGGCCTGTCTATTCACTTTCCTGATGCTGTCCTTTTATGTATAAAAGCTTCTCACTGTAATGAAGTCAATTTACTCACGTCCTCTGTGGTGTTTGTGCTTTGGTACCTTATCTAGAGAATCACTGCCTAACCCAAGTCATGAAGTCATAAAGATTTATGTTTTCTCCTAAGTTTTACAGTTTCAGCTCTTACATTTAAGTCTGTGATCCATTTTGAGTTAATATTTATATGTGACATGAGACAGGAGTCCAACTTCATTCTTCTGCACGTGGTTACTAGCACCTTTCTCCAAAGACTACTCTTTCCCCACCGAAGGGTCTAGTTGGAAATTACCGTGGTTTATTTTTGAACTCTCAGTCCTGTTGCCTACAGCCAGTCACGTGTAGGCCAGGGTCAAACGTCTTGCTTACAGGGTCCCTGTAGTAGGCTTTAAAATTGGAAGTGTGAGTCCGCCAACTTTGTTCTTTTTCAGGTTCTCTTGGCTATTCTGGGTCCTTTGCATTTTGCATGGATTTCAAGATCAGCTTGTCAATTTCTGCCACAAAGGCAGCTGGGATTCTGACAGGGGTTGCCCCGAACCTGCAGATCAGTTTAGGGAGCACTGAGACGTGACGGGCATTAAGTTTTCTGACTATGAACATGGGATGCTCTTCTACTTATTAGGTTTTCTTTGATTTCTGTTAATGATGTTTGTAACTTTTAGTGTGCAAGTCTTGACCTCTTTTGTTAAACTTATTCCTAGCAATTTAATTCTTTTTGATTCTACTGTAAATTTAACTTTTCTAATTTCCTTCCTTAGGATTTTCTATATATAACGCCACGTCATGTCAATAGAGAGTTTTTGTTTTTCCTTTCCAACCTGATGTTTTTTCCCCCTTACCTAACTGCCCTGTTAATGCTGATTTGTAAGATTTTATGTATCTCATCTTTGAAAATGTCTTTTCACACAGATACTGCCAAATACTGGTATTAATCAACAGGCATGGGTTTAATGGAAACTATTTGTTGCTTAGAAGGCATTTATAAAATTCTTCCTCTCTTGATATGTGCCTTTTCAATGTGTTATCACATTGCAGATCACTCCCAAGTGAAAGTGAAGTGGAAGCTCTGCATCGAACAGTTACACAGATTCCGAGATAAGACATTTTCCTCTGCACTGCGTTAAGGAGTGAAAGATGTTGCAGAAACTGCACAACATACCCAGTGCAGATTTGTGTGGGAATGGAGGTTTTGCTTCTCGTTTTAACTTTTGACATAATGAAAATGAATGAAACCTGACAGTAATTGTGACTCAAGCAACGTTAGCTGTTAGAGTGAGTCTACCTTATTACAAATTTTCATTTAAGTGCTATTTTGCCTTGTAATTTTAGGCTGAATTCATGAAGAAACAACATCAAGTCTGTAGGTAAAGCTATACAAACACTAGCATATGCGATAACTGTTATGTATTCTGCTCTTTCCACTTACTATATTTGAGAGCTCCCTTTTTCTATTTTCAGGCTTCATTTACTTTGTGAATGTATTATGACTTATTAATAACCTCTAGAATTAAACTAGCAATCAGGTTTTAAAAGAACACAGTATTTTAAAAAAAGCTCTATACATCTATTGTTATATTTTCTATGGTGCAAACTCATTAAAAGTCCACTTAGACTTGAACATATAACATTAAGTGTGTGCTGAATGTTCACTAGGTAAACAGTGAAGCCTGGCGTGCTGCAGGCCACAAGGTCGCAACAGCGTCGGACACG